CATAGCAGATTGGATTATCATATAAAGCCTTTTCTGAATTTTAAGGTAAGGGGCTTCTGAAATGAGGCACACTATTGAAATAAAGCAATAAAATTCTCGGAAGCCCTTAAAGGTAATGATTGAGTATCGTAAGTTGACTTCAAATTATGGTGTTTTTAGTCTTTGAAAAACAAAACGATAAATATTATAGAAACATGGTGAGATGAAGGGGTATATTCTTCATAATAATAAGCTTAGTAGAAGAGTTCGGTGTACCTCTTACAACTAACTGGTAAGTTAATGATGCCATGAAGAAGAGACTAAGGAGAGAGTAAGTTTACTTGTAGGCTGACAGTAAAGCTGCATAGGCCTCGTTCCTCCTCTGCAAGCCAATTAGACTAGAATTCCATTGAGCCATTAACTGTTTCCTGTCGGCTCGAATAGTCAAAATTTCTGCCTCTGCCTCGTGCAAAGCCTCCTGAGCTGCCTGAAAGTCTGCAGTCTGGGCAGAGAGCTGAGCCTCATAGAGAAGCAGATCATCTTTTAGCTGATCCACCTTCCTCTGTAGACGGTCAACCACAAGATCTTGTGCCATTTTGCTATTTTCTGCCTATAGAATAAATAATAAAAATGATTGAGCATAACAGTAATTGCGGGATAGCAATGCTATAAATATGTAGGGACCTATCTAAATTATTTCTCAAAATAAAGGTTAATTTCATATACTCAAATTCACAGATAGTCACTAGTAATTACTTTACACAAAGAACATATGTTAATGTTGACTGGCCTAGCAATTCAAAAAATGGCCATATTCGAAGAATAAGGAGGATTTTCTTGGAGTTTTAATGTAGATTTATGAGGCTAGGTCCTCTTCACAATTTTCTATACTTGTTTGGTTGATCAATATAAACTCCCTGATCTCTGACTTGCATCATTTCAGTATCCAATTGAGCAGTTGGCTTTATATCAGTCATATACTCGTATTAAATAGGCTTTAAAACTACCAGTAGATCTTGAATAAGAGTGGCATCTATTCTAGACCAAATAAGGCGAATAATGACTTATAGTCAAATTTTCCCACAAGTATATAAGCAGGCCCCACATATCCATTACATTTAACATGGCCTTGTTTCAAAAAATATATTCCCATCTAGTGTGGGCTGCATTTTCTACCTCGCCTAGAGGTCGGGTTACTACCCAAAGCAGTTGGCACTATCCGGGTTCAAATCCTGCTGGGAGCCGGGATCAAAACCACAGTCGACCCTAGATGAGATTATCATTTCATGGTTAAGTAAAATTTAACGGAAAATTGAGGGAAAACGTACAATCAGTCCCTCTTCACCTTATGAGTCCATGGATAAATGTATCTATTCTTTTGAACCCTGCAAGCTATGTTCTGTCAGTTATGATTGTCAGAGCAACAAATCTTTGCCGATTGTTTATGTTTAGATATCTCTTGTGTATAGGTCAGGAGGTCACATCTATATAGACTTTACAATGTGAACAAAATACTTGGAAGTGCCGGATCTGAAGGAAGGATGCGGAAATTCTCGAAAAGGTAACATTACAGAGTAAAGTGGTATTTTATCCTTAAACATTGTCGTAATGTCCCAGTTCCTCAGTAATTCGTTCATTTTTTTTCTAGAACTGACAGGATAGTAGAAACCAGGAGCGTTAAAAGTAAAATAAATCGCCAATTATATCTCTACCGCCCTTGTATTTTAATCTTGCAATTTCATACTCGCACTTCACGAAGTTCTTATAGGCCATTTATGCTTCTCTCAGGATTGCGTCGAGGATGTTTTCCACTATCACCCCTCACTCCTACAAATATGAAAATCTTCACCTGTCTTGAACTTTACCAGAACGTCCAGGAGTCTAGCATTCATTACAAGCACAATAACACTGTTTCCGAAATAAGGAATCTGTGAAACATATACCATTAAATGTTCTGTGTCGGTTGCAAGCTGGCTTTTACCTACCCACTCACCACCCAAAGGTCATGTGTAGCCGATAGATTATCTGAAAGGGAATGAGCTATCAGTTTACAAGCAGTAACGTCAGACTCAAACTTCTACATCGAACTTCAAGAGCATTCTTTTCCGATTTAATTGACCGCCTAATCGAATGTAGGAACCTCGCAGGGTCTTCCGTGACCTCTCAAAAACGATCGCCAAAAAATAAGGTATCATGTGTGAAACAATAAAATGGGATACTGCTGCTGTACAGATATTATGAAGTCGCCTCGAAACTTTGGGCCTAGTTTAGCTTGGATCCTTACACCAAACAAGCATAAGTTCAAGCTAACAAAGTTATTTCACTCTTTAACTTCGATGCGGCGCTGAGAAGTGAGTGAAAATATACAAGGCATACTGAGAATAAAATGGTTCGATTCAGTTAGCTAAGAATGAATCAAGTCTAGCAAAAGTACCAAATTTTAGAACAAGTACCAATGGATTTGACATAAAAACAAGATTACGTCCAGCATATTCGCTTAGATCATTGCTACATAATCACTATTATGGATGTTCTCACGCAAATAAATACTGAAGTTGAAGTAATTTAGAATGAGTAAACTTCGACAGATAAAATCTGGTATAGATCTCTCGTACCAGTTATTGTGCATATTGTCCATAATTTAACCTATTCCGTAATCTACTCTATCCTGTGGATCAACGTTTTATCGTTAGGCTTCAGATACTCTTTGTTCTCGACAAATCCTGATTTAACTTGTCTTATTTCTTACTAGTTTGGGCTTCGTCATAGGATTTCTGTCAAATAGGACAATAAAATGTGAAATCTATATACAACTCAATTTCAAGCTTGCGCTTCCTTCCAACTTTATCAATAGGGCCCACAAACCTTATACTCCTCATTTTGTTCCTCAAACAAAACTTCCTTTAATGCAAGATACTAGACCATTATCTATAATGTTTAGGGCTTACGCAGTTATTAACAATGACATACCTTGCTCTATGCTAAATCCAAAGTAGTGGGTAGCGTTTCAATAAGATAATTTTATTATGCTGCCGAGATAGGGGCATGTTAGTACGCCAGACTGAACCCGCAATGCCATTAATTGCAGCTCTCCAAATAGCATAATGAGAAAAAGATGTTTCGATTCAGTCAGTGGACAATGATTCGGATCCTGCAACAGGGCTGATTAAATAAAACAAGTTCTTGGTTTATTCGTGTTGGAGTGCTTTTTGAGCATTTATGCCCTGATCATATGCCTCATCCTTGCTAAGAAACATCACTCCAGCAAGAAAATACATTCCTTATACTTCTTCTTCGTTTTACTATGTTGAAAATCTCAGTCTAATTTGTATAGCTTATGTAAGTTTTATATTAATAACATTGTGGAACAAAATTCTTAATGAAAACCTATTATTCTTCCTGAATTATTAGACAATTCTATATAAATAAATATTTATCCATATTCTATATTCACTCTTTGCTCACGTCGCGACCATTACATATACCTCCAATGGCCGTTCTTAATACTATCACCATAGATAACATTGCTTACTATTTCGAAACTGCAGTTTACCTTGGATGACAATAC